CTGATCAGTTAACTCACAGGCTCACTGTACAGGGTTTATAGCTATCAAAATAGAATTCTAAATCTAAGTAGTGTACTTTGAGGCCTATAGAATTTAATAAAGGTGTTATCAGAAAGAAGTCTAAATTTACTTGCTGAATCTATCGAACCTTATACTAGCTTTCTATACAGGTTTAAGTAATAATTGGTAATAGTTAAGGACTAGTGAGAAATAGCTTGCTGGTAAAAACACTCCTCAAATCTCACTTGAGTCTCATTCCAGTTGTTTTCACAACCAGGGATTTGATTTGTTGATCTCTACTTTATCTGGAAATTTCAAGAAAAATATCTATAGTATTTCCTTAATTTGTTCGAATAAACTATTTGTTATCGTTTTGTTTTTACACTAATTACATAGGTTGTCTCTTAACCTCTTTGTTTAAAGGGGTCAAAATTGATCAAGTATTCTCCCAGACTTGAAACTGTCTCTAATTTCAAGGGTGCTAGACCAAGCTGGGCATATCTACACTGACACACAGGAAAATATGGAATATGTGCTGCATAAGAATATATGCAGCCCTTTAAAAAATAAGTATGTATCAAATATCAAATTTTATATGTTGACATGTAAAATTCTAGACTATGAGCCTCTTAAGGACAGTGTCTAGCAGACTGCCTGGAACACAGTAGGTGCTCAGTATATATTTGTTAAATGACTAAATGAATGAACCGACTTAAACCAAATTAAGTAGAGTAATTTGGGCTTGGTAGGGGAAGTCCTTGAAATATCCTGAAGAATCTGAATCTTTGGCCTCTGAGAGGAGACTCAGAGACTTTTAAGGCTTAGAAAGGAGGTTAGTGACTACATAGGCCAAACCACCTCATTTTACACCAGGCAGACTGAACAATGTATATAAACTAGTGTTGGAACTGGGAGACTGTTTGGAGGGCAACATGCAGTGTACATGAAAGCATTCCTGTATGTTCTATTTCCAAGTAAATCAGTATATAATAACAGAATTTATGGAATGATATTAAGAAAATGAGTACAATGACAAGACTTGGTATCTTAAATTATTTGTGTTTACTTGTAGTTATCAATTTCATTCAGACTAACTCCCAAGGACTGTCCAGATAATTTTGTTATAAGAAAAACCAATTGCATTATGTGCTATCTGAGGAAAAAAAGATGTTAATCATGGTTAAGAGCTTTGGAAATGTCTGTCTTTCAAAGATTTCTATTATAATGAGTTTTTAAAAATATGTTTTTGTTGATTTTTAGAGAGAGAGGACGGGAGAGGGAGAGAAACATCGGTGTGAGGAAGAAACTTCAACTGGCTGCCTCCTGCACCCCCCTGCTGGGGATCGAGCCCACAGCCCAGGCCTGTGCCCTGACCAGGAATCGAACCAGTGACCTTTTGGTGCACAGAACGACGCTCACCCAACTGAGCCACACTGGCTAGGGCTATACTGAGGTTTGACATCTATCTTGTACATGGTATACGTGAAAAATTAGATGGAGGTGAGGAGTGGAAAATAGATTTTATACAGTTGACAAAACCTGAAGCATAAAATCCACATGACTCCAATTACTGTCAAAGCCCGTTTAGTTGATTGTGGAAAGAAGGGGATACAAAACTGAAGGGCACTGTGCCTTTGCCTTTGTGAAACACCCCACCATAGGAATCTGGGTTCCTAGGCTGTGTGTGTGTGTGCAGAACCTTGATTCATTGGCTACCTGAGTCTTTGCTTGAGGTGTTTGACTTCCTTAACGTCAAGCAAAGCTACTTGCCTACTGAGTCTAAGGAACAGGTCAGAGCAAAGCTGGCTGCATCAGCTCAAATAACTGGTCGGCTTTTAAAGCCCAAGGAAATGGAGCCTCAGCCAAATGCTTGAACTCTTTCGTACACCTTCTGGGCTGGCGCTTCTTAGAGGGGTTCTTCCCATCAGTAGCAGTCATGAGGTCTGGAGTAGGCGAACTAGTTTCCTTTACATCTTAGCTTTGAAAACTACTGGTGGGTGAGCTAGACTAACCTTGGGTGGATGATCTGTAGAACTGATATGGTTTCCCAGACTAAAACTGCATTGTCTTAAAACAGGAGATGCACCATCTAGTCTATTCTTGGTGGTGAGTAAAAGGAGATTGCGAAAGTTCCAAAATTCAAGCACGTCAAAGCGTTATGAGTTTTGTATGAGACCAATGAGTCTTAAAGGAGAGTTATAGCTACAGGTGGAAAATATTAAATTACTATTTTTGTAATTTTCTTCCTAATGCCCTCAAAAGTTTTGGCAGAGATATGAATAGAAGCTGCCGCCCTTGCTGTAGAAAAAAGAGAGAGTGAGAGAGTATTTAAAGGAGAAAATTGAATTCAGTATCTGGACTTATAGAGTCAGGTCTGGCAGAGCAAATGTTAGTTTTTCAGTGAAATAATTTCTATAAGTTGGAATTAAATTGATTTGATGGCTCTGAGGCTAATACCTTTGGGTATCCTTTTAAAAGGATCCTTTGAAATGTTTATTTATGGTAGAGATATGAGGTTCAAAATAATATTTGAAAAAATGTTAGGCATATCAAAAGAGAAATTTCATTAGAATATTCCTAGTATTTTCCAAATTAATATCGCACCATTTTTCCATTATGGTAGAACACTGAATAAATAAAATGTTCCTTAGGCATGGCTGGGATACCCAGCCTGAGTGCTAGTTAGGACTTTTTGCCAAAACATCCATTTGCTTTCTTAGCCTGAGGGAACTGAACTAGCAAATGGATGTCACTTTAAAAATAAGCACACAATTGTCTTTTTTGGTGTATGCTACATGAAAGAGTTTAAAGGGAAAAACACACAAAACCCACTTCCTTTCACATAAAACTCTTTTTCGTTAATATCCCAGAGTTAAGTGTTGGGGAGGTGAGGAGAGTGGAGAAATGTTTCTGGCATTTAGCTTTAGGTTGCACAAACCACATTAACTCTATACTTTTATGATAGTGCATTTTCCCTTTCCCAGATTTTCAATCCTTTCAACATGTCCCTTGACCAGTGACCTTGTAGGAATTTCCCTAGGTATATATAGCAGTTAGGAAGAGTGCACAATGTAGAAGCATTCTGTATTTATCTGTGTGTCCTTTGCTTGTTCTATGATCATGGGAGATTGTAATTTTCCAACCTCAAAGAATGTGCTTTGTTAATTCCCTTTCAAATGCTCCTCACTCAGTGAATGATTCAGAAGGAAAATGCTCAGATTCAGGTGAAGGGAGTCATAGCAAATACTTGCCAGACCACAAAAACTTCAGCTGCCTGGGCTTTTAAGGGTGACTTCAGTTGCTTAAGGGCTTGGGGATGAAAATGCTGTTTGTAGTGAACTCGTAGAAAGTCTGCAAACATCCCAAGGACAGGGATCATTGTCTGTCACTTACTCAGCTGAAGAACCATTTAACAGTCTACTTTAGTAAATTATTTATCTCTTTATCATCGTTGGTTACATTGTTAGACCCTCTAATAATTTACAGATTTGGGAGCAGAGTTTCTTTCCTGGAGACACTGAAATTCTGCTCTGATAACCCTGCTCAGGGGAAGCAGGATTACCTGCTTGTGTGTTGGTCTTCATGCCCTGACTCAGTGGCTCAGAAATGTGAGCACGGCTCAGAATCACTGAAAGGCGTGGGAAACGATGGTTTGCTGGGCTCCCCGCCCCTCCAACAGCATTTCTGATTCAGTAGGTCAGGGGCAGGGCCTGAGATTTGTGTTTCTAAGCAGTTCCTGGGTGTGGCTGATGTGGCAGGTCTCAGGACCACATTTTGAGAATTACTGCTCTAACCAACTACCGTCACCCACCCATTCCAGAACATTCCATTTTTCTTTTGTTTGAAGACAATATTTTTCTAGTCTCTTTTCCTCTATTGAGATCATCTCTCCCCACTCATTTAATTTTTTTTATTTTATGTTTTTATTGATTTCAGAGAGAGGAAGGAAGAATGAGAGAGAGAGATAGAAACATCAATGCTGAGAGAGTTGTCACTGATCAGCTGCCTCCTGCACACCCCCTACTGGGGACTGAGCCTTCAACCTGGGCATGTGCCCTGACCGGGAATTGAACCATGATCTCCTGGATCATAAGTCGATGTTCAACCGCTGAGCCACGCCTGCTGGGCTCCCCTCTCATTTTTAAATATGGTGCTAAATGCGCCAAACATGCGTAAGCCTACCATGTAACTTAATTACTTTCAAAATACATAGCTTTCCTCTCATATTACTCACCTGGGCATTGTAATGATGCAACTGGTTTCCTCAGAATGGTTTGTCATCTCCAACGATGACAGCCAGTTGTGAATTATGTAAGCTCAAACAGACAAGGACAAGTCCACGGTCATGGTAGAATTCTGTTCTGGGGACCAAGCTTATTTCTGTTCCACTACGGAGTGTTTCACCCCAATGGTGTCATTTGCTCAGCAACCCAGCCTCCAGCTATCAGTAGAGGTGTTCCCTGAACATTTGTTTTGGGAAAACAGCAGGGTTCCTATTTTCATACAGTGAGGCAGTTATTGTCTCCAAAGTCATTTCAAATCAGCTATGCCTCCGTTGTTTGGGAGATCTCAAAGTAGATCATCAAGTTGGTCATCACCAACAGGCAAGAGGTGTAAATATAACCCATGCTAAGTGTGGTATAAATGCCAAGGAAGCAGTTTATCTTGTTAAATTCCATCAAGGGCAAGTGACACAGCAGCTGCAGATCTGCCCATAGTGGCCTGGGGGATACATGCCAGCACTTTGACGATCTTGCCTCTATCCCTAGAGGTGGGAAATCCTTGCATGTGATCAGAGCTACAAGTATAATGGACTTGAGAAAGTCATTGAGAGAGGCGGCTGCCTTTGCAAGGCTCGGGACTAATTCAGTGGATTTTCTCCCATCTTCAGCAGCGTCCAGCAGCTTCTTTGGCTACTAGCTACGTCGTTTGGCAGCAGGCTCCAGCGCTCACCACTGCACACAGCAAGGAGCATTCTCAACAGTGATGTTCCAGTTTAAAGGGACAGAGCTGCGAACAAAGGTAGGCGTTTATTTTGGGTACTATCCTTTCAACTGCACAAAATCTCATGCCCGGCCACATGCCATTCATCACTGCCACACTCGTGGCGCTGGGCATGTGTCTTCACTCTCTTCTTCTTGAATCCTGAAAGGGGCTAGGGATACTTGATGTCAGCATCTTGACCTGAGCTTCCTGTTTCTTTAACTCTCACCATGTCCCATTTGCCTCTTGTTTCTCTTCTTTACCACTTTCAGCTCTGATCCCCTCCTTCTTTAGGGTCCTATGTTATATTAAGATGATTCTTTTTGGCAGTAGGTTGGTTCCCTGAATGCAATATTTGGTGTTTTCTTTTGATGGGAGAAAACTCATATATTGCAGCCTCTATATGAAATACAGAGTAAGCCCAGCTCTGCCTGCCCACAGGTCTTCAGTGAGAATAGCTGCCTATGAAGAGTGGTGATACTTCTGCATTGTGTTGCGCTCCTCACAGTTAAGAGCTGTATACATTCGAGTGATTGTCTGGTCAGTATTTGTCTTCTCACTGAACACAGGCCACGGTGAAGATCATGGCTACCTGTTTGCCCACTGTTGGGTCTCTAAATGCCTGTCAGAGTGTCTGGTACCAGCAGCTACATAGTAATATTTGTTGTATGGAAGGAAAGAGTGTACATCTCCAGTGTACCAGTTGATTCACACACAGGCCTTAGCTGGTCTCAACTACGTATTGGAAATGGAACTCTGCTTTGGGAAGGATGGTGCAGAAAGACCTAAGTTTTATTAATGAGTTTGGTTTTTTGTTTGTTTTAGTTTATTTTGAGACACTCAAGTGATGGTATTTGTTGGGTGGAAATAGACTATGTATCACCCAATAAGGAGAAATATTAACTATGATGAATTGTATAAACCTTCTTCTAGTCTAGAAACTTATTACTGTGATCTACAGGTTGCTAGAGTTTTATATTATGTTTTTATGGTATTAGTTTTGCCAGGGCTGCCATAATAAAGTACCACAAATGGGGTGACTTAAACAACAGCCATTTATTGTCTCTCAGCTCTGGAGCCTAGAAGTACAAGATCAAGGTGTCCACAGCTTTGGTTCCTTCAGAGGACTATGAGGGAGAAGTCTCTTCCATGCCTCTCTCTGGTGATTCCTGGCAATCTTTGGTATCACTGGGCTTGTAGAAACATCACCCCACTCTCTGCCTTCATGTTCACGTGGTGTTTCCCTGTGTAATTGCATCTTATAGGACACCAGACATATTGGATGGGGGCCCACTCTTCCCCAGTATGACCTCATCTGAACTAATTGCATCTACAGTAACCCTATTTCCAAATAAGGTCACTTTTTGAGGTGCTGGGGGTTAGGGTTTCAATCGATGAGTCTTGAATGGACACCTCTATAGGATGAAAGACACATGGGCTCACCCAGAATCTTTGTGCCCAGAAGCACTTCCTCGTGTTCCCTGGCAACTCCTTTCAGTTGCAGGGTTTCACTCTTTCTCTGATATGGGGTTAGGATGATCTTGGCTTGGTGATTAATTTTGATTTAACTAGTTAAACCTGTTTCAGAGAGCCAGCCAGCAAGTAGGTTGCCAGCTGGCACCCCTCCCCGTGCCATCTCTAGTGGCAGTTAGGGACATTGTGTGAAACAGTATGAGAAGACTTCTGATGTCTGCAGAGGGTGCAAAAACTTCCCTCCTCACTGGCACGTGCAAAGCAGTCCCCCTCTGGGCCCCCAGTGAGTGGAGGCAAGAGGAGCATTGAGGGAAATATCTCAGACTGGCTACTTAGAACCCTGACATCAGCTGATGAGCACCATTGATCTGTTCTGACAGAAGAGTTCCTATGGAAAAAAACACAACACAAAAACGGGGCGATGAAACACACTGGAACCATCCAACCCAAATATTTCACTTCACCATAGTAAAGGAGGAAGGCAGTATTTGACTTCTGGCTGGATGTCCATGAGAAAGACCAATATTTAATCTTATCTCTGGCATGCTATCAGCAGAACATGTTACATCACTTTCCTAGGACTTCCAGGTGCTTAAGAAAGTAACTGGCCAAGATACGTGGGCTTCCCAAACTGTAAAACTCAGAGCGAGTCAGTAGTCCATGTTGACACAGCCTGTGCGCCAGGGTACCCCCATCAGGGGTGCAGTCATTGCCACTGTTCTGGGTTCGATGGGGGAGACAGAGAGAGAAGCAGGTGAGAGAAGTTATAGCAAGGGGTCCGCACCAGGGAGAATGGTTTGGCTCAAGGTGACTTAGCAGCAGGGGTGGACCTTGAGTGTGGATCTTTTGCCAAATAGGCCACAGTGCATGTGAAGGAAAAATATCACTTGGTAAATGAGGAAAGAAAGAAGATCAGGGGTGAAACTAAATAGGAAACACCAAATGCAAGTGGTAAGGCTAAGTGACAAGCCTGAGAAAGGGTTACCAAATGTGGCCTTGCTCCTAGTCCTGACAACCCACATGATCTCAAACAACATATCCCCACACACTCATGGGGAAGTGTGCGTAATGGGGTCATTCAGATCTAGGGGAGTTTTGGCATCAAAATTCCATAATATAGTCATTTCAAGCCAATGTAGAGTCTCAATTCCTTATACCTTTAGTGCCTGGATCTGCCTCAATAGTCTTAGTGTTTTATATGTGTAAACCTCTATCTAATTGGTTCTTGTGTTTCTATATATAATTTAAAGTTTTTTCTCACTTCCATGGTTTTAGGGTGTCAGTGCCACAAAATGTACCCTAAATGTTTTTATAAAAAGCAAGTGGCCAAAATTTAAAAACACACGCACACTGATTTTGTTATGTTTCTGAAGCTAAATACCTTAAAAAGATAAGCCTCAATGGCATAGAATAAAATTAGCCCTCTCCCCACAAACAACAACAACAACAACAACAACAACAAAGATCAGTGTATTCTAAAGCAAGACCCTGGTTGAATATATGTAAGATCCTACCTCCAGTTCTTCAAACTATAATTCAGAGGATCCTAGACATAAATCAATAAACACATACGGAGAGAGGAAGTTCTTATGGAAGATGAGCTTCAAGACACACACTGTGCATTTAAATCTACAGTGTATGGACTTGATGGCATTTGGAAGTATAGTAGGAGTTCATCCAGTAAATGTCGAGTTGGGTCAAGGCCATCTTGAACAAGCCATCAGTGTGGTAGGAATGTAGCTCAGGCAAGCAAGATCTTACCTCCACATGGAAAGTCCTCATAAAAGCTCTAGGAAGCAGCATCCTTAAATGCTCTTGTGTTGGCACAACATTGAGACACTGTGTCAATCCATCATATTGGATAGTTGGAGGCCATGCTGGATTGTGGTTCCCACAGTCCAGTGGTGGTTTTAAAATACTATCTCCACTTCTCACAACTGTGTGACTCTGCAGCCTCAGTTTCCTATTTGTAACCTGGTTGATGGATCTCATGTTCCAATTTTCTTTTGTGTATGAGGCTTACACAGAGTAATAAATGTGAAGTGCTTGGTAAAGTGGCACCTAGTCGATGCTTAGTAAACATCAGGTAATTGTTATTATACTTTATCTGATGTGCTCCCTTTCGGAGAAACTGAATCTGTTGCACTAATGGATTCAGAATCCGATGACTTTCCATCACCATGGAACCCTTTTTGTCTTAATCTGTGACTGATCACGAAGTTCCAAGAATGCCAGAACCCTGCAGATCCAGATCTGAAGAGAAAGAAAACATCCCCGAGGTAACACATGGGCGTGGTGGTGCTGCCGTCTTAGGAGCACCCAGTCCATTGCAAGTCTGAACAGTGTGAGCCTCGCTCTGGGCAGAAAACATGCAGCAAGGAAATGTCTGTTTTGTAAGAAGACAATTCAGGCTTGTTTTTCAGAGCCTTTCATAATCCTGAACTCCTCCGCTGCAGCAGCAGCAATGGTAAGAATTATTGAATATGGCACCAGATATTGTGAGAAACTAAAAATGAAAAGGGAAAAGTAGTTTGCAAACTCAAGGTGAATACATAGACACCTGGTAGGGAAAGAAGACAAGAAAGACGGGAAAAAATGTGAATGGATAGAAACATATATCTCCAGGTATATGGAAATACAGAAACGACTTTAACAGGCTGCCCCATTCGAGTAAATGGCCCCTGTTTGAATACTTCCAAAGGTGGGGCGCTTCAAGTCTTCTTAAGCGTCCCACCCACTCCCTGTAGGCACCAGCTGTAGATAACTTTATAGAGGCAATAGTGAGGAGGAAAAACAGATGTTTCTTTTTTCTAACTGTGGTTTAGATCCTGGCTCCATTGTTTAACATTTCTGCACTTTGGATGGAAAATAGGATGATGTATAAAGAAACATCATGATACTACCTTCTTCAAGGGGTTGTTGTAGGGATTAAATAAGACAATACATGTAACTCATGTAGCACAGCGCCTGGCTCAGAACTAACACGAATGGACCCAACTGAGCGTTCAATTAATTTTACTATGATTATTGAGCAGGATGTCTGGCTCCAACGTTCTAATCTTGAATGGTTGGCCTTATTTCTCTGTGCTTCCATTGCCTATGTGTACGTGGAGTGTCTAGGCACATCTGTGTCCTGAGAATGTTGAGAGGGTTAGATGAGCTGATACAGGTAAAGCTCTTAGAACAGTGCCTGTGCTATTTAACATCATTTGATGTTAGTCATTATTATTATTTTTTTAAAATATGTTTTTATTGCCCGGCCGGGCGTGGCTCAGTGGTTGAGCGTCGACCTAGGGTCCAGGCGATCGGGGTTCGATTCCCGGTCAGGGCACATGCCCGGGTTGTGGGCTCGATCGATGACTCTCTCATCATTGATGTTTCTCTCTCTCTCTCCCTCTCCTTTCCTCTCTCTGAAATCAACAAAGATATATTTTAAAAAAATGTTTTTATTGATTTTAAAGAGAGAGGAAGGGAGAGGGAGAGAAAGAAACATCAATTGGCTGCCTCCTGCACGCCCCCTTCTGAGGATCAAGCTCACAACCTCGGTATGTGCCCCCCGGTTGGGA